GGCACTTCGCCCGATGAAGAAAGCCAATGAAATAGGGTGGAGGAGGAGAAAGGAGGAGGAGAAGAGAAGAAGACGAAGGGAGGAGGAGGAGGAGAAGGACCTGCCGGTTTCGTGATACGTCCACGAAAAAGGGAAAAAAAAAAAAAAGGATGATGAAGGAGAAGGAGGAGGAGGAGGACACACACACACACACACACACACACACACACACACACACACACACAGAGAGAGAGAGCCTGACACGTGGCACTTCGGGCAACGGTACGGCATCGACGACGACGGGGCAGCTTTCCGACGGCGGCCAGCGACGACGAGCTGGGAAACGGGCAGCGACGATGGGCAGCAGCGGCGGGCAGTGACGACGGGCAGCGACGGGAACCTTTTCGGCGGGCAGCGGCAGGAACCTCCTCGGCGGGCAGCACGAACTCACGTTCGAATTCAAAGGCCGCCCGACCAAATGTGGAATCGGCGGAATAATTTGCGCGGGGGGGCGGGAAGGCTCCCAAGCGCGAAAAAGCATCGAAAAAGGCCTCCCCGACCCCCCGCGCAAAAATGCGCTGGGCCCGCCCGGCGTCAAACCGGGGGACCCAACCGGCCGGCCGCCCGGGACCCCTGCCGGTCGGAGGCTGGGCCGCCGGGCGGCCCGGAGTTTAACACAGCTGATAGATGCATTTCCAATTTTCCACCCAACGGAAGGAGGTGTAGTTGGCAAGAGGAACGACTGTAGGTGGCGAGGGATGAGCTTCGGACAATGTCAGGGAAGCCAAAGTGAATGAAAGCGCAGAAACTACCGTCTTCACCTAAAAAGAACACCCGTCACCCGGTCATTATAGCTGTATTTGGTGCAACTTTCAGTCCGCGTGCAACAATAATGATCGGGCATTCTATTCGGGTGAAGACGGTAGGTGGACGAGATCCCTCTTAGATCATACTCACACTAGAGCTTGGCTGGATGTATCCGATGACAGTTGTGTTGAAGTTCAGTCAGAAGTTCTTGATAGTGCGTACACCCTACGGGCTCTATGGTGATTATTATACCCTAAGGGCTTTCTAGAATATGTTGAATGCTGGGACCGATGTTCGCATCTTCAGACAATGAGAGGAGCTGGAGTTGTATTTAGCTGCAGGGTGCGAAAAAAGGCAACAACACCTCACATCGCATTGCTCACCAAGCCAGATGTCCACCTTCCGATCGCGAAATGGAAGAACAAACTTCACTCTTTCCTCTGTGTCCCATGCCAGACCGCCAGATCCTTTCATCTGATCTAGATGAACGGTTGGAACCAATAGATGACCATGCCCACCGATCTTCCCCAGGAACTGCTGTATTCGCACCTGAAGACGCTCGTGCTCACTGGCCTGCAAGCGCCCCCCCCCAAAAAAAAACAACAGCCAAAAACATGCAAAAAGTGAGTAAATTGTCAAAGACGACCTTCTTCACCCTAATAAAACACCCGGTCATTATAGCTGCATCGGGGGCAACTTTCAGCCTAGATACAGTGATAAGACTCGGCACAATATTTGGGTGAAGCCGGTAGGGTGGCAGAGACAATAGTCGTTTCCCTGCTGGCCCTGGAGATTGAATGAAGGGAGGAAGTAGTAGCGACTTATAACGGAATTGTGAATTGAAGACAGCTAAATGGAGACAGTTTGGAGTTACTGGATCTAACTTCTAAATTCCAATGCAAGCTTTTACATAGCCAAACGAAGGAGAAGATAATAGAGTATCGACTGTATGGCATCCCAAGTTTGTCTGTCGATATAGCCTGCGCTTTAGCCCTTTTCAGCCGATGACGTCACGCGTGGGAGGCGACTTGTTTGAAACATCATCGAAGAGGACTTAGAGGAGTTAGAAAAAGAAAATGTCTGCTAAGTCTTTGAGTAGAGAAACCGAGATCGGAAACAAGATTGTCCTTCTGTACATCTGTCAAAATTGGAATGCTAAGAGAAGAGGACCACGTGCACAAAATCGAGAAGTGATCCCAATGGCAAATAACAAAAAAATAAAAAAAATAAAAAAAAGGGCAAATCGTGATCTGTACCCCACTGAAGGATGGGAATACCCCCCATACCCGGTCCCATTGCCAACATGCGCCTATACCCAGAAAACTGCCAGTGGAAATTATTTGCATGCCCAGGATTGAGGTGGACCCAGGTTGTGCTGCAAAATTGCAGTTATAACCAACTACTGGAATGCACAAATTATGGACATACCCAGGCAAAATTATGGGCACACCCGGGACTGAGGTGAACCCATCAAGTTATTCATATACCCTACAACCGGATGACTGAAATTATGCTCATACCCAGCAGCCGATGGGCCATAACGGTCCAGGTGGTGGGCATGAAGTGCCATGAACATAATTTTGTGGTCCGCCTTTCAGGGCCCGCCACTGGGTGTGGGTGCACGCACAATTTTGCCAGCCCATTTCTGGGCATGAGCATAATTTGGTGGTCTGGAACCGACGGCCTGCAGGACTGGGTATGCCTGCAATTTCGCTCAGGGGAAAAGGTGGGCACTATGCAAATTTGAATGGGTTACGGGTATAGATGCAAATTGGGCGCTGGGACTCGGTATAGCTGGTATTCCCATCTTTCTTTTTTTTTTTTTCCAAATAAAACAGGTCCTTATGGTCATGGCTCCTTTTCCATTATGGGGAGCGTCAGTCCGGTTCCTATTCCTCCGGCAAGTCAAGAATGAATACATCAATATACACGCTCACGATTCCTTCCGTATGGCCGAAGGACCCCTGACCAGCATTGATTACTCCTTGAAGGAGGATTGACTGTCAGCTTGCCTGTCCCTTAGTTCCCTCAGAGATTCCATATTGTTACGATCCTGGCCAATTTCGAAGTCCACAATCATCAGAAAGTACAATGTTGTCCAATTGCGAAAAGAAATGAATGAACTTGAGCCCAATGCCGTCCAAATGAAAGAACTTGAGAGGAGAGAGAGGGAAAGAAGAAGAAGAAGAATCAAGAAAGCAGAAAGAGATGATGTACTCCAGCATAGACCAAAGACAAAGCTCTTCTTCTTCGCTTATCTCCTCCTCTCTTATTCAAACAATAAATAAAYAATAATAATGTTGAACAGCTGAACCAGAATCAATGTCCGAATCCCACTTCTACTGCAGGCACAAGATGAGGTCCACCATAGCCATGGCAGCCCTTCTTCTTCCTCCACATACAGGCCGAGGCTATGGCGGACTACGGAGGCTTCAGCCTCCTGTACAAGAGACAACTCAAAGCAGCTATACCACTGCCCTACTTCAAGGTCATCACCCGGCAGCTATGCCGCTGCCCACTCAACCGCCATGCCTGACTCTGTCCGAGCTTCCTTGATGCGGCACTACCCCCACCGGGGCCTTCCTGATGCAGCGCCTAGCAAGGAGATGAAGATGGTGTCTACCATCGGTAAGTACCCCGCCACTCTCCTCCTTGGCCCCCTTCTCCCTCCTCCTCCTACCGGTAGAGCTCCACCATAGCCAAGGTGGAAGCTCCCGGCTTCTTCCTCCCAGCAGCGCTGTAGTGCCCAGCGCTACTCCAGCCAGCGCTCCAGCAGCGTGACGCCCAACTCGCACACCGAAGAATGAGGCCGGGCTCTTTGCCCTGCCTCTTGATATAGCGGCCTACTTGCCTCCTGGGCGGTGACTTCCAGGCCGCTCGGCCTCTCCAAGCAACCGGTACCTCCTCCGTTTCGGAGGGAAACATCATTGCAGACCCTGATATTACCCGTACAGGCTCTAGACTCAGACTGGTTGGACTGGTACCGGCCTAGACCTACCCTACCGCTACTGGACTCTAAAAATGCCAACTTTGTCTTTTTCTGCTCGGCCTCCAGTACCCCCTCACGCCAACTGCAGTGGGGTGCAGTACCGGCCTACCGGCCTACTTGAGTGTTTTTCCGCTACCCCAAGGGCCGCGGGGCCGCTAGCTTCGCCGCTTGAGTGTTTTTCCCTGCTACAACCCTCAATGCCACGGCCACAGGTAAGTACCGGCCCTACGGGCCTACCAAACAAGCAAGTACCCTTGCGGGTCACACACACTCATACCGACAAGCACTCAGTCAGGCACGCAGGTCACACGCACGCACACACAGACAGCCTTAGAAAACACAGCAGAATGCGGGAATATCAGCAAGGCATCCATTCCATCGGCAGAACTTCAGAAATCAGCAGTGTTCTCAGTCTGTGTTTTGACGGGTCATTACAATATTGAAAACTGCCAGATACTGCAATTAATGCAAGAAGAAGGGAGATAAGCTGCTGATTGGATCCGGTCCACCTCTTATGCCTCTGGAGTCCCCCATTGGTACATTCTGCAGCTCACTGAGTGCTTCCCCCGACAGCAGACAGCCGCTTGGTGAGCGGTTCCCAGGGGGTCTCGCGTACCCCTGAGATCTTGTTGTTCCTTCTGCCCCTCGTTCCTCAGGGGGTAGCTGAATTGTGCCAGTCTTTCCATCTGATTTGTAGGGCGTGAATGTCCGCTATCTTTCCCTGGACCAGCCACACCCTCCTGAACTTAGCTATCATTTCCTGTTGCTTGTCCGGGTCCTGCTGAATTTGAAGCTTGACCTTCTTCCATTGGCAGCGGATGTCAGTCTCCATGAGGATTTTCATTGATGCCCGTACTTGTTCCGACGGCATCCTGGAGTTGTCAATGGTCCGACTGCACCTCTCCTTCCATATGACCCACAGTGTCACCTTTCTGATTATCCCGAACCAGATGCGCTCCGACTTGTTGAATTGGGAGGGGAGGTTAGTCCATAGGAGTAGCTGGGTGGGGTGTTCAGGTAAGGGAGAAGGAAATAGGTGGTCCCAGAGAGCTGCGGCTCTGGCCCATATGGCAGTAGCAAAGCTGCAAGTTATCAGACAGTGTAGCATGTCCTCTTGTTCATTATCAGAGCATATGGCGCATTGCTCTGAACTGTTAGGGTCACTGTTTCGCCTGCGGACGTATAACCATGTGTTCACTGGGATGGCATTGCAGGTGATCAACCATTGAAGACTTCTGATTTTGACTGGGCGAATTGATTTGTATTTCCTCCAGGGGAATTGGGATTGGTTCCATTCTCTGACCTAGCAATTTGGTCCATCTTTCCTTGATAACCGGCTCCGGGTCCTCCGTTTTTAGTAGCATCCTATATCACATTTTGACTGTGTACTGCGTTATCGAGATGGGTGTTTTGCAAAACCTATTGCTACTCGAGAGCCAAGCCCATTCTTCTCGGTCGAAATTCTAGGTTCTGGATTGGTGTTTCGGCTTGGAATATTGTTTTTGGCCATGTACCCAAAACTGAATTGAGGGTTGCTTCTTGTGGGTCAACGTTGTTGATGGTGAGAGTTTTGGGATTGGAGCGGTCTATAGGGAAGGAGGTGAAAACTGCCGATAGGTCAGTGTCCAAGGATCTGCGATAGAATTAATAAGCTTTCTCCGGTATAGCTTCCTGAATTAAGACTCCCCATTCCCCCGCTTTCCATGTGAATTCTTCCTTAAGAAGATCTTTCCAGCCATCTGGGATGCTATTCACCACAGTAGTCAGATTTTCGTCTCTGTTGTGGGATCCTTTCAGGTGTTGCCTCAATTGATCTTCATATATCCACTCTTTCCTCTCTTCGTCGTATATGTGTGCTACCCTCCAGATTCCATGTTTAACCCATGAAAGCCATCGCTGTCCATTAGATAGGGACAGGGGTAAGTCCCCTGCGTCTCTTATGCATTGGTTTCCGAAAAGGGGCTGTTGCAAGGCCTCTTCTTTAGACTTTGGTTTTCTTACTTTTTTCGGCATGATGCTTCTCCAGATCCGGATGAGGGCCGACCAGTAGGGGGTTGGAGAGGTGACTCCACTTTGTTGTGAAGTCGTCCTTCGCCTTCTCCTTCCTGTCTTGGGAGACCAGTCCTTATTCATGACCCAGAATAGTCCAGACATATTCACCGGTGACTGGACTGGGGTTCTGGCTCGTACACTCTCATGTGCAAGCTTGTGCCAGGCCAGCCTTGGTGGAGTTAGCAGTTTAATTATCCATTTCATCTGCAGGGCTTTTGTTTCCTGTTTGGGGTCAATTATACCTAGCCCTCCTTCCCTCGTTATGAAGTGCCATGCTATCGTGGGGATGTATCTGGTTTTGTTAGGGTCCCCTGACCATAGATATGCTTGTGCTCTGCTGTTAAGATCTTTGATCGTGTGGTCAGGTATCGTCCAGATGGAGGCAATGTACCACATCAGCGAAAAGATGGAGGTGTTCAGCGTTAGGGCTCTCCCTAGCAGGGAGGGGTATTGGTCCCCCAATTGCCCCATTCTGTTGATTTGCTTAGTTAACAGGTTTTGCACCATTTGCGGGGCTGGGCCTTCCTTGGAA